GTGACAGAGCAATATTGAATCTCAAATTGATATGTTTGTTTAATAGTCTTCTGATGTCATGTAATACATGTAGAGAAGCGTGATTTCAATGGAATTAGTTCATGCTGTTCATAAACTAGTGAATGAACTTACCAGGTCCATGCCGACTCCTTTCATACACGACTGACGCACTGCGGCGCTGCAAGTGTGTAATGACTTTAATCCCCTCAATCAGGAAAAAGTTCATGCAGGAAGTTATTGATTTCGATTGACGCTATGCAACGATAAGGCAGGCACATATCATTGTTTAATCGTCACTTTCAATTAAAAATAAACTTTTCTTTTGATTAAGTAAGTTAGTTAAGATTAGTTAGACAAGTTAAGATTTTGGATTAAGTGATTGCTAACATTGGTGATGTTTGAAAGTAGTTTATAGGTACATGTACATCAATGGGAATAGCATATAGGAGGATACATAGGGTGAAGGCGGGTGACGGGTCGTAATTGGGTGAATGTTGGGTTCAAAATAACGTCAGCGCATTGACCGAAATTACTTTGGGTCCGGCTGAAACGTAGATGGAATTTCCATGGGCCACTGGACCTGTAGGGACCTGTGCAGATGATTACATAATACGTCCATTTTATCTGATCTAAACAGTCAAGTTGATATGATGGTCACTTTGAGAAAATAAGAATCTTTTCGTTATGTTGATGTATTTTGTGATTAGTCTTCATTGATGGTACGGCACAGTACATTTTAATAAGTAACGGTCCTGTGTCATTACAGACCCCGAGTAGCTCATACTTGTTGGAAGAGTCAAATAAAATAGGAATCTGGAGTTCAGGCTCTGAATTGGTTGTCAGTTCATCCGTATTCCCCGGATCATTGTTCGTAATTTCAGTCACTGGTTTGTCTGGTCCAGATACGAATTTTTATGGATCCCATGTGATTTACATGGGATATTGTCAAACGCTATCCACCCATGCACCTACTAAAGGCTCTTGGCCACCCGGCTCTAGTGAAACAATGTGTATACATTACTGAAAAGACATCCATGTATACCGTATACTTTATTTCAACTGTATGTACCACATTCAACTACATGTAGAATAAATATAAACTGACACAGTGATCCTGGTCATGATAATCCCCACAACTCAACTGCTTGTCGTTGGGGGCGGAAACCTGTGGTACCACTTGTAGCTTGTAATACTTAAATTGCCAGTTTGATTTCCTGGTTTGTGAGCTTGCCAATTAATTGATTTTCTTTCTTGGTGGACCTATGCATGTTTATATTGTAATGCAAATACGCTTTGAAAGTAGAAACAATTTCCTTGATATACGGAACGGTGGGGACAAACACATTTTTTAAGATTTTCAACTTCCCCAATTTGCTTATCCATAAAATCCAAATACATTAAAATCAGTTTGGTGAGTGAAGAATCCCTAACCATGCAAAATCATTTCTCGTTGACAGAGTAAATAAATATTTGATTAAAATGGTATAACGATATCACAATATGTGCGGCAGTCCATACATTCCCACGCAAATGAAACAAACTGAAGAAAAGGGTAAATTATTATCAAATATTATTATATTAATTCAAACGAAGCTGGATCTTCCTGTCACAGTTTCAGATTACAAAATTACTTCATATGCGTTTCACAGATTCGGCATGTGTCAGTGTTAGCCTAATAATTACAAGTGTTTCTTTACTCCCTAAACTGTTAAATAATTAGCATGTATAACATGTCCCACACGCTGATCCTCTCTTGAGCAGCAGCATTAGCAGTTACTTTATGTTTTATATTTTGTCATCTTTGTGCCCATCTGGAAACGATTTTTCTTTGTCAAATGGCATTTATACAAAGTTGTGTTTCACTTAGACATTGATCTAAATCAAAGTCAAGAGGTTTGAAGGCGGGGACTATGGATGTTGATTATTTGTAAACACCCTTTAGAAATTCAGATAATGTTACTGTGTCATTGATTTTGAGGAAACACGGTCTACTTCAAAACTATTAAACCCTCGCCTATTGTATCGTAGAAAATAACGATGCTGGTTCGAACGTTTTATTCATAAGGTTTCTTTCTCATGTGTATTGGTGACAAAAACAATTCATGTCAACACACACAAAAGGTGAAATAACTTTACAATAATATTGAGAATAATGTGTTTAGCACAAGTGAAACGTTGGAGTAGAAAAAAATAGTGACGGTTTATTCTGGAATTTATGTGACAGCACAGCAATATTCAACACTCAAAAACTTGATAGATTCTTATCAGGGAAACATTATCAATTTTACAAAGTTTAAGGCACTGCTAGAGTTATGAATTGATAAGTTATTTAACTAAGGTGCAGTTAGGAATGGAAGTGTTCCTCATTATGCTAAACAACCTCTTATCAATAAATAAATAAAATTACTCTTTAGGTACCGTTAGTATAAACTGATGTAGTTGAGGTTACATCTGTAGTGTCTGACTTTGTTTGCACATCGGAGGAAGCTATAATATTAGCTGCAACCTTTGTATTTTTATGAGATGAAAACGAATATACATAATCAACATTAATTAATCGTGTCAAGAGTGTATTATTCTGGTGGAGTGGGAAATTGTTACCTTCATTACAAACCAGTGATTGATTTAATTTTGAAAACAACTTCCTGGTAAAACCTGATATATGCAATCATCACAGTGTTTCGGGTAGTACAAGTGAGAATATCTTAAGTCCTAACATGCTCGTTATTCTACACTGGACATTTGTAACATTACCTGTCTGAGTTTGTTTTTTTAATGAGGATACATGTTAAAGGATAAATTGGACAAATGCCGGTACGTGTGCTAATAAATGTTTTACGTTACGAAAATATACACAAACTTGTTGTATCATTAAGAAACACACTTACCAGCTTTTACAAGACTGTAAAGCACCATGTATGACTCATTCTTGTCAATCAGTTACCTCATACCGACCAGCATCCTCGTGTGTAGCATTGCAGATCTCAAACTTAACTGTGGCGCTGTGAGGTGAAGTATTCAGTCCGTTGACTTTCGAGCGACTCTTTGGCCAGATGTAGACATAAATAGATTGTACTATGGCAATGGGACTACCGCCAGGAGACCAAAAAGCCAACACAACGTCCGTCATTCTCCATTTCAGGAATATTGTGACATCCTCCCCTTCACCTGCGGTTGTGGTAGTCGATTTAGTTCATGTTGATCATGGCAGACTCAACGTTACATTACTTTAACATAAATGCAGCAACTGATGTACACGTTTGTACTTATGCCAATATCAAAGGATCGTTCAAAGTATACACATACTTAATAACAAAATTGAACCATGTTATACTTACTTTTTGCATACAAGGACTACATGTACGCATTTGTTCCGTTGATAGTCGATTAAATTACCCCATAGTTTAAGGTTCAACGTTCTGTGTTTCATTGTCATAATGTTGTCATAATGCTTTTGCATGTTGAAAAGGGAGAATATTGTTTATCATTATTTCGTGGTATGGTATATCCATGATATATAGCTGCTGTGTCGGAAGTATCTAGAGTTATTGTGCATAATGTTGTAGAAGGGAAACTACGATTATGGCATGTCGTTTGTGATGATTTAATTGTTTATGAGCTGATATGTTAATTGACTGTCTTGATTGGTGGACATGTGCTTGTTCGTGGTGTATGCACAAAGACACTTTAAAAGTAGAACATTTTCCGTGAAATGCTGAACATTAGGGAAAATACATTATAAGATTCTCAACTTGCCTCAATTTGCGTATCATGGAATCCAAATACATTAAAAACAGTCTGGTGATGCAAAATCTCGTTGCCAGTTTTTTATCTTACAGAGTAAATAATTCTTTCGTAAAAATGGTATAATGATAACAAAATATGTTCCGCGGTACACAGATTCCAGGCAAATGAAACGAACTGAATAAAAATGCAAATTATTATCAAACATAATTATAATAATTCAAAAGGAAACTGGAGCTTCCTGTCATATTTTAAGATTACTAGAAATCATTACATCATGTTCATTGTTCCCGTCATACATTTTTTTCTTTACTCCCTAAGCTTTTAAAAGTTACCATGCATATTATGTCCCACATCTCTTGAGCAGCTTCATTGGAATCAATTATATACAGAACGTAAAAAATATATGAGAGAAGTAGTTTCAGCAATATCCGACAAGCAATATCATAAATTGATTTTCTTAAAAAAATGATTGTACATGCAACCATTTTTATTGGTCCTTTTTTACGGATTTATTACTTGACATATTGTCCGTATAGTAATTACATTACGTGTACATCATGAAGCCAATTCCATAGACTGTGCATGATTAATAATTAACCCAAACTATGGAGCTTAAGAAAGGATGAATTTACTTTAAGTCGATGTGCATAACAGATGACACCAATACATATTTTGTATCATGTATTGTATTGTTTTTGTATTGGTTGAGAGAGAGAGAGAGAGAGAGAGAGAGAGAGAGAGAGAGAGAGAGAGAGAGAGAGAGAGGGAGAGAGAGATTACAATAATGGACACGCCATGACAGAGGTAATCAAACTTGGATTTGTTTGGGCTATATTGTATGTGTGATATCACAATGATGCTCTATTGAAGAGGGACAGTATTATTTGGATTTCTTATATGCATTCAATTCGTTTATGGATATTTACCTGTCGTTTTACCTGATCCCAGATTTGCCCGATAGATATGGGCGCTTTGCTGCTTAAATCGACTTGTGTTGATTCATTGATATTCAAGACACACTCGGTAGACTCTGCATCTTTTAAACAATTTCAAACAATAGCAGTCCTTTCATAAACAGATAATTGGTATGATTTACTTAGATGGAGACAGTCAGTGTCTTGTGTCGCAAAAATCAAAACCGCGAACGGAGTCGGCGTAGAATGAGTTTATTGACTAAAATAATAATAAGTAGAAAAACACACCATATACAAATTAGAACAATAGAAACTACTGTATAGCCATTTTGTATTTGCTTGTGGGTGCACAACAAGGTTAGAAGTAATTATCAAACAAAACCGTGAGGCACTGTGTGTTATATGAGAAGCCAAACCCACATACTCACCAAACACGATGGTTATTGTTGAGCCAAAAATGCGTTTATTTGTATATGATATTCTGAAAAGCATTCCATGGATTTAAAGGCGATAAATTGAACTTCGTTATATGTAGGCGCCAGATACTTGTTTCGTCTGCTTTCATGGATAATAATAGTATGTACATTTACAAGACCTGGTGCTTATTAATGTCTTTTGGATCCAATTCCTTTATCTGCATGTATATTTCCATATTATCTGATACTGAAGTTTTACTGAACAGGGGTACTTCTCTAAAATTAGTTAGCAGTGACAAGAAAGGTTTACTGATAATTTCGACCTCAATCGTTCATTACTGCCATCGGTTATTGGAAACGAATCAAACGGAAATATGCTTTCATGTAAGTCATGCAAGCCCGATAAATGAGACAAATATTTTTTACAACTATACACGTATATGTACATATCAAGACAGCATATGAATGTTTATCGAAATTAATATGGCATAACACAATGCCCAAGCAAATCAGAACAGCATTGTTTCATGTCTTACTGAATACATGACAACAAATGTGAGAACACGTGAACCACTACATATCCTCCTTCACGAAACTTTTTTCTTTATCCGCACTTCCCCATAATCAGAAGAAATATTCTGATGCAAATGACAGCCAGTAGCAAAGCTAAATTAACTGTTAAGGGGATTGCAACTGTACAACAGGTTTCTGAAAAGTAAAGCAAAGCTGCATTGAATCATGAAGTAATATGCAATACGATAACACTCATGGACATAACTGTATCATGATAAGAACAGGCATATATGCAAAAGTCAGTAATGGGACAGCAACTTATATTCTTTTTCCCTACTATTATGAAATAATATTTTAATAGTTTAAGCTGACTATCGGAATGGTTTTAACAACACTCTGTACAGTTTTCAAGAAGATCAAAGTGATGGGGGACGTTTACTACTTTGGGGAAATATACAAGCACCGATATGGTGCAGACAAACCTAGAAACATAATCGGGGAGAAACGGGATTCGAACCAGCAATCGTAGTTCCTATTAGTCGAAACTCTCCACAGCGGATTGCGGCGCCTTAGGGGACCGATTCAGTCGTTTCCCCCTATATTTTAAGACGTACAGTAGTACACGGTTTTATTGTTCCGGTTATTTAACTCACCAGTGTTGATTGTAATTGTAGATGTTAATGGCGTTTCTGTTGTAGTTTCAGTACTTGTACTTGTACTTGTACTTGTGTTTGTTCCATCTGACAGAAGTAAAAATCAAACTTGCATTCAAGCATGAAGTAATATTCAATACCATAACACTCATTGACATGCTTGTAATATAATTAGTATAAATGCAAACATCAAACATCAGTGTTTTAAATTTAACCTGTCAGACAGTTTGGTTTAACGCCGCTTTTAATAGTATTCCAGTTATATCACGGCGTGTCAGTTGAATGTGGGACGAAAGCCCCAAGTGATGCAGGTCTCAGACGTTTACCACTTCGGTGAAACCCACGAGCACGGGTATGGTGCTGACAAACCTAGAAACATAATCGGGGCGAACCGGGATTCGAACCAGCAACCGTAGTTCCCAAGGGACGCAACTCTCCACAGAGAATAACGGCGCCTCAGAGGACCGAGTCAGCCGTTTCCCCCCTATATTTTAAGACGTACAGTAGTACACGGTTTTATCGTTCCGGTTATTTAACTCACCAGTGTTGATTGTAATTTTAGATGTTGATGGCGTTTCTGTTGTAGTTGTGCTGCTCGTAATGGCAGTACTTGTATTTGTTCCATCTGACAGAATAATAATTAGAATGTTTTCAAAGTGTCGTGAGAAGCTAATAACTTGATACAAGAAGCAACTAAATATCCACCTTCACGAAACAGTTTTGTTTATCCGCACTTTCTCATAGTCAGAGGAAATACTCGAATGCAAACAACAGCCAGTAACAAAGATAAATGAACTGTTGATAGGATCACAACTGTACACCTGGTTCCTGAAAAGGAAAGTAAAAATCAAACTTGCATTCAAGCATGAAGTAATATTCAATACCATAACACTCATTGACATGCCTGTAATAGAATTAGTATATATGCAAACATCAAACATCAGTGTTTTAATAGTTTAACCTGTCAGACAGTTTGGTTTAACGCCGCTTTTAATAGTATTCCAGTTATATCAAGGCGTGTCAGTTGAATGTGGGACGAAAGCCCAAAGTGATGCAGGTCTCAGACGTTTACCACTTCGGTGAAAACCACGAGCACGGGTATGGTGCTGACAAGCGTGTAAATATTATGGGGGCGAACCGGGATTCGATCCCACAATCATAGTTTTCTGGCGTGTCCAAGTGATGCAACTCTCCACAAGAGAATAACGGCACCCTAGACGACTGAGCCACCCTTTTCCCCTTAATTAGAGTTTAAGACGAACAGAAGTACATGCCGGTCGTATCCTTGGGGTATATTAATTAGAATGTCGTCAGCGTATCACGGAAAGCTATGATCTTGTACTGTTTTCAAGACCTCAAAATAATCAAAATACTCTAAAGACGAAAGCATGGTTAATTTCATGATCCGTCGAATAAATGTCTGCAAAATAACATGGTCATGTCATGGGCTATATGTTGTGTCATATTGTGGCTGTAAATACCCACCTTTAATTTGTAAGGGTGAATTGTCGACTATTGCTTTACAGGTAAACGGAAACCAATAAAGGGTGACTCTTATAAATGTCATTCACAATGCACTTGTCGCAAGGACTCATATCAATAAGTAACGTATTAAGCACTAGGTATTGGTACATGTATTGCTACAGCAAAATAACTGTTCTCATAACATAAGTCTATGTATGAATGAGGGGGGTATTTTGGTCACATATCGCTGTAAACATTGATTTACTGAAGTTTATCATCTTATGTTTTGGGGAAAGCTTTGCTGTTAAATTAGGGCAAATAAAGATTCGAAGCAATCGGCACCATGTTACATTAAAAGGTAAAATACAGCTCCTCTAGCACCTGGACAATCATTGTAATATTTATGTATTTATTTTATTTCTGTAGCTGATATAGGCCCATGTACATATGAATGACATAAGTAGTATTGCTTGAGGCAAGCATATTCGTGACAATTATTGTTTGTCATAATGACGATTTTGTTAAGCATATACGTAGATATACTGTTCATATCTTTAGCTTTATTAACAAGCACCAAACGAGTATTCCAGTTTTAATGTTCTTTATCAAGGAAATGTCACTTTGGCTATTATGATATATGTCGGATATCTACATTTATCCGAAATCAAACTATGAATAAAAAAAAATCTATCGTCAATATGCATCATATTCGTATGCGTGACAATCAGTACATGCCCATAGTTAAGATTGATTTGGGTAAAGGTGTTGTTATGCAAGAGCATCTGCTGTGTCTATGGTGAGGTTAAATTGACATGCAAATTCCTCTCACTCTCAGGCTAAAGCAATACTATTTTTGTATGTTGATCATCTTGTTATGTTTGGGACTCCTGATGTGGAAGTATCGTTCAGATAGAGGAGTAGCCATTGAAGTCGTAAATTTATTCAATTCTTTCACCACTGTATAGTTTTGTTTTACATTTGACCAATCTGAAGTTAATATAATATCGTTTTCATGACATCGTTTATCAATCTGTTGTTGAGACAGTTTGAGTTCAACGCACCTGTGTACATTTACTATAGTTCAGTGTTGTCAGCTGAATATTACAGGGGCATACAAGGAGTTGCAATTTTTTTATGTGTGACACCTTTATTGCCTTTCGTAGCATTATAACTCTATCAAATGGTGACTATACAGGAGACGTGTCGAGTTGGCCTATGGTGACACGATACATGACGGCATTCAAACTAGAGACAGCGGATCCTGGTTCGGATGGGGTAATTGCTCTAAGGGTCAAATGGCGACTTTCTCATATGAGCGTCGTGTCAGGATGGTCTATAGTGACAGACATTTACAGATGAAATGACGCCTTTTGACTAAAACGAGTGATCACTGTTAACGTAATAGTCACTACGCTTTAGCTGCGTGTATAGACCAGTCAACCCAATGACTAGAAACCGATAGGACCAAGCCGGACCACCCGTCGACTTTTATATACGTTTATTACGGTACAATACCCCCTACGGAAGTAGGAAACGGCTTAGATTTCAACAGCGAGCCATAATGTCAATGTAATTTAGAGGTACTGACAACAGAAGAATAAACTCATTGTCACCATCAGTAAGACTTCTCAAAAACGTTTAAATTGAACGACACTAGTTTTGAAAAGGTATTGCGTTGTTCCACAATGTCCGTGAGAATTGCGAGAATATTCAGGAAATACCAAACTTACCCCTTTGTTTACAAAATGCACTTGTCCGACATTGCTGAGATCGGATCGTATCCAGTGATTGTTGAGTTTCATCGAATAGTCAGATTACATTTTCATTCTGAAATTGTCAAACTATTTGCTTGACTTCAGATGTTTTTTTTATTTGCTATCTATTTACTAGCATGAATATTCACACAGACGAGCCTAATTTATAAATTCCTACGATTCATAAATTGAGACCTACCTGAATCACTCCTCACAAAGAGTACACCACTCACAGATAATATCCACATCAATGAACAGATCATCTTGTCACCTTACGACAATATCACAACAGACTTGTAATGGCTCAACCGTAGCTAGCTGAAGTATAAATTCAAATGAAGCCGTAATGACCTCAAATATGTCCGCAAAATAATTGCTTTCATCACTGAATATAAATTTGTGAAACCACTCCCGACCGGCTGTAGAAACTAAACTAACTGAATCCAGTCACTGACTGTCACTGTTAATAATTCATTATCTTGTCTATTGTAGGTGGACATTCCATCAAATGTGGTTGATCCAACACGTCACACTTAAAACGATATCATTCTAAATATTATTGTTTTACACTATTATCGTGCAACCTCAGCTTCGTAGATTAGCCTTCTCGTTAAATCATTTACTCAGTGCACCAAGACTAAGTTTCGGTCCCCATATTGTTTCGGTTTTTTGTGAAAGGACTTTTTTTGTGATTTGACAGGAAATGTTAAAAACAACAAAGCACCTTACTCACACACTCAGCTTCTAAAGAGGAAACTGAAAGCCGTACATGACGTTCTACTACTGACCCGTGAACACAGTTTGTGTTACTAGATAGTCACCACTCAGCATTATTGTTTAAATAAGGGACTGGGTTCTACTTACAAATGTATTTGATCTCTGTGTACCAAAGGAAGTTACAATCAGGAAGTAACAAGAACTGGTCTGGAGTCGGTGAAATGAATTGTGTCATTCAGCATTATAAAACATTAAATATGAACAAAACTACGTTATATGAAAACAGAATGTACTATCTGTCTTACCATACGATCGCCTTTCTAATCTGGAGGTAGAAAAGTCTCCTCAAGAGCCGAAGGTAGGTAGGTTTATTTTTAGGTAAGATAACAGATGGCACTTGTTATTAACCTGTCTAAACTTCGGCATTACGGGAGCAAGACAAGAACTAATCGGCTCGGAGTCAGTTCAATGTGTCTCAATGGGGTAACCATGTAAAAATATATTATAATCTATCAGCGGGTTAACAAAGTGAACCCGACAAAAATCTGGAGTAGAACAAGTATCCCAAAACAGACGTGCATGTCGCTAAATGACGCCATTTCCTCTCCTTTTAGCAAACTCGATTACATACATGTCGCCATCATATAATTAAAATATTGATGACTGCTGCGTTACACAACAAACAAATCAAACCAAACATTCCTTGGACATGATGTATAACACATCTCCAACACATCCAACAATAGGCATGATCCACGTCACTAAGGCTATGCCACCTTCTCACAAGGGTCAGCTATAATATAGAGTAAATAGTAGAGTACCGTGTGTCGACTGAATTCTTAGACTAGGAATTTCGGATGATATTTCCCTGGTGAAACAGTGTTGAATGCACCTCGTCTTACAAAACTAATTCACTGGGGAAATATAATCCGCTGCTCATCGTAGTTCGTAGACTTGTCTCTTAATACAGTAAGCAATATATTGTTTCACTAGGAATATGACAAATCACACCATTCTCACTCTTATGATAAACATAAGTTATACTGTGACGGCCAACTGATCATTCTTAATGCGTAAGAAGCGACTAACGGGATCGGGTGGTCAGGCTCGCTGACTTGGTTGATGCATGTCATCGATCTCAAATGCGTGGATCAATGCTCATGATGTCAATTACTAGATTGTTTGGTCCAGATTCGATTATTTACAGACCGCCGTCATAAAGCTGGAATATTGCTGAGTGCGGCGTTAAACAACAAACAAACAAAACATTCTTAATGCTGAATGGAAACCAATAACCCCATTTGCCCATGTATTAAATTTAACGTCCAGTTATAATAACGAATGTTCCACAATACTTGCCAGCTATACAATTTACATGCCATTTCAAAAACACCCAGATGATCGTATTAGGTATACCACTGTCAGTGCTTGTCCCTGTCACAATACTAATGAATTATTTGTGAAAATATGTGCTGCTCCTTTTCGACACTACTCACCAGTGGCATCAAGTTTCAGAATGTTGTGCAGCTTTTCTCTATACCATCTAAAGTGACCTGTTTCACTCCATATTAAATCAGGTAGTATGAAACACACAAGGTCCTGGTGATGTAATATGAACTGTATTCCATACACCGTGCTCCATTCGGACTATGCACTTCCTTATAGTCAGTTATCCTATCCACATGCAAACCTTGTATCTTCACTCAACTCGCTCACACTAATTCCTCTCAACCCCCTCTCCACATGACTTTCTCTCCACTCATGTCTCCCCTCTCTTTGTCCTCCCCCGAACACTTTTACTCAAATTGCTATTTCATTCTTTGACAAACCTTGTGAAAAATCCAGCTTGGTTCATGAAGAGGGACATTTAAGAAAACAGTAATATCTGATTGGTACGTTTCACACGTTCACACATGCATCAAAGAACCTGGCTTTCTTTCACATCCAGAACTTGCTACATTGTATGAACACTCCACTGTACATATGTTCGCTTGAACTAACATGTTCTTACTGCAATGCAATGTATAGTAACATAACCATAATGCACAGGCAATTATAAACGGAAAATATAGCATGTAAATATTGTACATGTATGTGTGTAAATTTATCTTACATGAACGTAAGGTTCATACATCCAAACGCAGACTGAAGGATAGCCAGCACATATTATAACAAATAAAATAAGGACATATTAAGGTTGATACATTCATTTGAAAACTGCAGATCTGTGCAAAGTTGTACAAATAAGATCGTGGTGTCGAACGTATTTTGTTTCTTCTCAATCAAAGGGAAACTAAAGTGAAACAATTCTTTTGGCGAATATCAATCTTCCTAGATACATTTAGTCATTTTTTTTCCGAGAGAGAAATAAAAATTCATAACATTCGTAGAAAGTATTAAATGTCGAAGTGAAAATGGTGAAATCACATGCAACGTAATCAGCTTCCAAAACAAACTTATTTGAGACCGTGGCCTAAAGTTACCGGCGCAGTTTTCATTGGCTGATATGTTTGCCACCTTCGTCTATGTTGCGATTTGTAGTCGTTATATACATGCTGTTTCAGCTATTTCTGTTAACCCTAAAACACAACAACATTGAATAAATTGTTGAATGTGTGATCTTGACATTGTTAATAATTAAAATGACCATTATCAATCGGTATACAGCGTTTTATTACAAGCATCCTGTTTGGTCTCGTAAAACACCAACAGACCTCGGCTCTTTTCCACACATTAAATACCTGTCAGGGATGAATCCCCTGCATAAACAACTGAAGGCATCTCCAGTGTTGTTACTAAAGTGACGCCGTAGTGGACACGGTAATCAAATGGATAAGCAAACAATCAAAAGACATAATGTATTAAAACATCCGAAGCAGAAACAGGTAGATATCGGCAGATGGCTATACAAAATTCAATCCAAGATTCAACAAAAGCCAAACTCATACTCAAATGAAAGGAAAATTGAAATTGCCGTTTCAGGCCTTAAAAAGCACTATGACAAGGTTTGTTCATCTTGCAATCAGGCTGAAACCATTGCTCACGTGTTACTAGAATGTCAAACAAGAATTGCAGTTAGATCCGCTATCTGTCATAGATCTCCTAAAGCCAAGAGATGCAATAGCGAAGGCCAAACTAACTCTATTTCTGAGAGATTCACAGCTGCTCGAACGTATATAAACAGAGCAGTCAATGATAAAAATGAAGTTATATCAATATAAGAAAATAGAAATCATACCAATACAAAAACAAAAAATATGTGAATACCAAACTCACAATAGATATGTAACCTTACTCACACACAGGAGTCCCAAGGAGGGACAGGTCAGCCGAAATTGCTTAGGCAGAAGGCGACCTCTTAAACACTCAATGCAACAACAACAACAGGTAGACAGGGCGTCAGCAAGGTCGTCATGATAGTTGAAGTTGCGCAGCGCGTCAAACGCCGGGAACCCATTGACTTCACTTGCCCTGTAACTGTTTATTATCACAAAATAGTATCCTTAATAAAAAATGGTCCATACACGTTTCCTCGAGTCTTTACAGTTCACGGAGGCACGGGTGGCCCATTCGTCTAAGGCGCCGCAATTCGCTGTGTAGAGTTGCGTCCCTTGGGTACGCCAAATACTTATGTTTGTGGGTACGAATCCCGGTTCGCCCCGATTATGTTTCTAGGTTTGTCAGCACCTTACCCGTGCTCGTGGGTTTCACCGAAGTGGTAAACGTCTAAGACCTGCATCACATGGGGCTTCCCTCCAACATTAAGCTGACTAGCCGTGATATGACAGGAATACTGTTAAAAGCGGCGTTAAGCACAATTCACTCGTTCACTTTACAGTTAACAGGTACAAACTAAATGGAAAATATTTACTTATGTGCAGACATCATACAGTTTCAGCAGCGTTATATACACGCACAACACCAAATCAACTCATTCTTCAAAAGAAAATATATATGAACACAATTGTACCTAAAAAAACAAACTTATTCATACTGAATGTTTTTGAAAATAAAATGTCATAACGTATATACATTCAGCACAAAAAAGTAACCAAAAGATTATACTTACAAAGGCATTGTCAACTGTGTGCCAAATATAATAAAAGCATCATCGAAGAGAATAAACAGCCTCGATTGCCTTCCGAAACACATTTCATGGGAGTAATAGGCAAAACTAGTGATGAACATTATAAGAATAGATCACTGATAATCAGTGATGACTCCAGGTGTTCGCGAAAACGGTACGGATGTCCAGACCTACTTCCAGCACCCGCCAATTTCAAGAATATAGTAAGTGTTGGTTGCCTGACGCCTGCAAAACTCCTGTCACATGACTGTGGCATGTAAACAATCTAGTCCTACTAAATTTACTGAAGTCAAATAAAACATTCTGCAAATTACTCTGGTGACAAATACTACATGTATGAATAACATCATTACAAGACATTAACTGCAGGTATATTATTTCAAAGATAATGGCGGTTTAGAACCGCTGACCTGTACAATTAGGTACCATTGAAAACATGGCCATGATTATTTACATAAGTTTAATAACAAGGTAATTAGTATAACTCTTAAAAATATTTCATAACATGAATTATATAATAACTATATATATGTAAACGTACAATGTTCTTACAAACCATCAGAATCAACGAGGCGAACTACCTGACTGTGGATGCTGAGATGCGTTAGGTTCCGTTTTCATTGATGTTGCAATGTGGTCAGTCCACCTAGTATTTATTACCATAGATCCCAAAACATATGCTATATACATTAATTTGATTGAGTTCGCATTGCGTTGCCTCACATATAATAGATCATATGAGACAATAGTGAGTCGACATTTTAACCGTTCCTCAATGAGTTATCTACCGATTTGTGATAATCTCACTACCATCCTCACCTGTAAGACTAGAGTAATCCACAAAATCGTTTCACAACCATTTCCACGATAATCACTTATTTACGATTTGTACAGAAGCTGTATCAAGTTGGGCCAGTATTGCTGATTATAGCAAAGGATCCAGACGGTTGTAAGACACGGCGTACATTTCCCTCATCTCAGACTCGTTTGCTGCAAAGGTAAAAAGTTGTAAACGTAACTGCTTTTTGCACAAACCAACTGCAATTTGCTTCATGAGTTTGGAAACTTAATAGGTATTGCATTTAACCTTTCGCTTTATCATTACTTGTATCGCCCAAAGTTAATAGTGCTGCATGATACATTTCAATATATTTATGATTTAGTTAATGAACATAACAATTTTTTGTCAACCACCAACCTGCTGAACATTAAGGACAAACCTGGTTCCCGATTTCTTGTAAGCAGCCAGAGTACTATCCACTTTATTATAATAGCCGCTGATAGCAATATATTCGCCACTGACAGCCATCTCACGACAACAGGGGTGCATAGACTTGGCTGGCAATCTATACCTAAGAACAATGTTGAAATTATTCTTGTTGTCAGTTTCAATAATAATGGCCGAAAATGTCCATTGACATTTCATGATGGTAAATTAATTGAAACATGCTCAAACGTGGCCAGTAAACACACGTAATAAACAAACATGTTACTCCATGATTTCCATAATGTGATTTCAGCTACATAAAATATTGCACCAGGTGTAACTACATGTACCATTTAATATCAAATGGTCTCCAGTTGATTGTAGTTACCCATTCAGAGACGACAGAGAGTTGCTGTATGGCGCACGTACTGCGATGTTGTATATGTGCTTGTTCCAAATTTGAATGTAGAAAAGGCGATATTATCATATGCACAGTAAAGATGATAGTTATGTGTGAGCAGTTATCTGTATATTTACTCATGTTAACGCTCTGAAGTTCAAGGGGCGGTCGGGTAGCCTAGTGGTTAAAGCGTTGGCTCGTCACGCCGAAGACCCGGGTTCGATTCCCGACATGGGTACAATGTGTGAAGCCCATTTCTGGTGTCCCCCGCCGTGATATTGCTGGAATATTGCTAAAAGCGGCGTAAAACCTCACTCACTCACTCACTCTGAAGTTCAAATTCCTAAACATCCAATAAATATGTACTCAAACGGCTGTCTCAGGTCCATGTATGTGCATCTATTGGATCATCACGAGATCATGTTTGAGCCGTTTGCATCAAATTGATTGGATTTTTGTGGTTTTGTTTTGTTTTCCTTTTTGCTTTAGGGAGACGTGTGAACACCTTATCATCTTGGTATAAACGAAGATAATACATTTGTTTGTAAGGATATGCATGCTGATTACGAGATGTTTACGTTTAGATTATTAAAACATGTGTGATGTCGACTACATGACAGCTCTTCCACGCATCTACCTGGTTCTAGAATCACCACTTACTTGGCAGCATCTCGGGAGATGTATCACTCCAGTCTGAAGCCAGGCCTTGTTCCTCTGTAGCCTGGCATGAATAGTTGCCCAGGTCCTCCTGCCTTACATCTGTCACAGCCATGGTGTGTCCCGAGAAGTGGTACCTTCCCCCATTCTCAACAACTTGTCCGTTTCTGAGCCACGTGTATATCATTGAAATGTCATGGTCATGAGGTAAACTGGAAGAGTTGGTTTCGCACGTAAAAACGATCTTGTCTGTGCTGACAGTGACACTGATGTTTGGTTTAGCTGGTTTTCCTTAAAGAAAAGTATTATGTTTTGATGTATAAATAAATGAGGCATATTGGGATGCAACTAAGTGAATGTTCTACGTGTTCGACATCATCTATGGCGCTTTGGGATAGCATCCAGGGTTAAAGCATTGGCAAAATCATTTGGGTTCGACTCTAAACAATTGTACAATGAAGTCTATGAAGCATGCCATTGCGTGCTCATTTCTTGATAACATGTAATGTGGCTAATAGATGCAAGGGACTAATTCATTCATGTGACTTGAGCGATTGTGTGCCAGTCAACAAATATTTACTATTTCATTCAAATTGGCGAGATTCAACCGGTAGAACATCACATGCTTACCATTTCCACAAAATACTGGTTTCATCACTGATTTTTACGACTTTTACTGTTTCGGCAGCTAATCGAGATTATGTATTTGCTGCCGTTTTATATTTACATGTACTTGAATTGTATGATTTTCAAATTTTGTTTATTCACTCTTTACAAGAGTGATAAAATGTTAAGACTATGTTCAGTCAAAAGAAACCTTTGTAAAGCGTATGGGTGTTTTGGCATGACAGTATCATTTACATTAGTGCACCTTTGACATTACTATGTGACTGAAAGTTACGTATTTATTATCGAGTTTAAAAATGTCATGCCGATGAAGCTTTAGAACATTGAAAATCTCAAGCATCCATTAATAAATAGGAAAGATACTCACGTAACACGATAAGCATCTGTCCACATTGTGAAACAAATTGTTCACCATTGAAATTCTTCCAGTGACAGGTCATGAATCCAGCATCTGTTGATGTGGTGTTCATGATGCTGAATTCTATGACCCGATCGCCATCGAAGGTAACAATTCCTCTTATCTTTATCTTTGAACGGTATGACGACGAAACATTGACTTTGATGCCATCAACAGAAAAAAAGATTTGATCTGTTTTCGAGTTTTTAACACTGAACCAGCCATCTGATCGTGGAGCTTCCAACATCAGTGAGGCATTTTCTCCTTCCTGAGCCACAACGTAGTGTTTGTGCAGCAGTTGAGAAACTGGAACAAATAAATGGCAGTACATTTTTAAATTTTGAAGAAGCATTACCTATGTACACAAACACTTTTCTTCTTACAAAAGCTGTACATGACATGATATTCTTAGTGATTACAAATACCTGGTTCGAAAATAATAATGATGTGTAATGCAAACACGTGGGGGAATATTTACTTACAGTTTGCTGATAGACTAACTTCAGGACTCCAGACAGACATTAATCCGTATTCCAGATGTATATTACAGGAGAAGTGATCTATCTTGTCGTCTTCGTTAAAGTCCATGGTGGTCAAAGTACTCTTCCAAAAATAGTCCCTGCCTCTGATCAGGTCTGTTATGAGATGTCTATCGTCATTCTGCAGGTTGTTCCCATTCTTCATCCAGTTCATGACTGTTCTTTTAGAAGTATCCCAAAGCCACATCCGGAGATAGGAACAACATGTCAGGTTTACAACGGCCTTGTCACGAATAGGACCAGAGGTAACGATATATGGATCCTGGATACCTGTCAGATCGAAACAAAAATAATTTGAAAACCTCCATATTTGTATCTCAAATGAATGAAACATAAAGATTTCTGAAGTCCAAATGTTTCATCTACGTGATAAGAGACAGAAATAACATAACCATGATATGGTCAGTTGTAGAAAGTACGTACCTTGTACATACAAAATATGAGAACAATCGCGAACGCTGTCAACCCGATTTTTCTTGTAACAGTAGTATCTTCCCGCATCCTCTGATGTTGCACTGTGTAGCCAGAACTGGATGACGACAGAATCAGCTGATGTTGTTATCTTCGTCATCTTGACTCTCGACCAGTAGGCATCCCAGATGTAGACTTTAGTAGAGTTTATTTCCAGGAGGAGTATATGTTTAGGGGCATATACATAGAATACGTCCTCAACCAACGGCATCTTCCAAGTAATAAAAGCATTGTGTCCTTCGTGAACCAGAGTGGAGTTGGCATAAGGCCCGGCTGCAATAACACAAGGTAAGCATAAATATCTGCATTACCTTACTGTAGGTGCAGGATGATATGTTGATACAAGTCAAGTGTACAAATGCAATTAATGTATCTTAGTTATCACTGAATAACAAACTATTACTGGCCAAGTCCGTTTTCCTCTTTCTGGTGGCAACTGAGGATAGAACAATTCTCGTCTCAACTCTGTCCTTTCCTTGTAACTGTACGTCTTTTTATTGATATTATTGTTATATCCATTATCACCAAGGTATTATTGACACGACAATACCTATATTGTCACTATATTATGTCTGAACGGGAATTTGGTAGCTAAGGTACACTCACATTGTTCAACCAGTGCATACTCTTCACTCCACTGTGACACTGTCCTCTGTCCTGCTACAGCCTGACACTGGAAGTTATCTCCCTTTGCTGCCCTGACGTCACTGACAGTGAGGATACTTCTGTGGTATCTTCTCCACCAGCCCCATGCACGACTCTCCTGTGTTATGTTGTATTTGGAGTTGTCATCTACAAGGAAACCATTCCTCCTCCAGATAATGGCCACGTTTACACTATCATCAGGATAACCATGAGTGAAACTGTAGCAGGACAAGTCAACACTCCTGTCCATGTGAGGTGTGTCTGGTGCTGAGATGTACGGCTGTTGGAAATCTGTTGGAAAGATAAGATGTTTATTCAACTACGACTTAATTAAAGGTATCTTGGACACGTAAAACAATTAAACATGTATGATGCTATTAGTTAATAAAAAGATTAGACTAGTATGACGCTTCTTATGAACCTGACTTGCCGAATGTGTGTTCGATGCCCTGTTTTGCCAGATTGTGAACCTATGACATCTGATTATCTTCTAACTTTGGGTTAGATGACAAACGAAAAGTTAAAAGCACTGACTTGTTGTCTGTAAAAAACTATTGAGAAATATGCCACATGTTAGAGTATATTTGGAATATGTGTACTGATTATTAATACACTCTTAATGAATTAGCAAGTATTGTTGACTGGATTACTTTAATAATTGTGTGACATTACTGCAAACCTTTTGTTTTTCTTTTAAAAATATTTCCTTACCAACAGTCAGCAAAGTTTCGTTGCTCATGTCAAACATTTATTAGACTGTTCAGATTCAGTTTCAGTGTTAAAGTTCAAGTGTTTCAGTTTCCGAGAGAAGTACATAATCAATTCAGCTTTACCCACTTACACTGGCGTGCTTAGGGAAAAGTACATGACAAAGGTGATATTAAGCACGTATTTTTATTATCATCTAGAAAGTTTTGGTCTTGGTGTCGAAGTCTTATTATTGTCGGATTTGTGTAAGAAAAACTCAAGCAAAAGCATTGTTAAACAATCAAATGACATAGACTCATGTGCAAGTTGTGGATGCTGCGTCAAATGGATTTCGGGGGAATATTAAACGTCTTATCTGATTGTGTACCATGTTTGGTCCTAAAATGGTAAATACTTAATAATTACGATTTAACCGCCAATTCACCGCGTCTCCAAAACTATATTTCGATTATTTATGATGGAATATTTATATTTTCCCGTGTTTAATTTGACAAGTTAAAAAACAATGGTTCTATTTAATATATAGTTTCCTACACTGAAAACCACAGTGTCAGGGATTCAGATTGAAAGTATGTCCTCATGACATGATATCAATCTTTAATAATTAGTTACATATAGTTAACTATAACATAAAAAAAGCTCATAACTTAAAGGGGCACTGATCTAACGCAATTCCCCGGACTGGTTGTTGCCTTTGTTATTGTTTTTTTTTCCGTGAGTACCCGGATGGTACGCAACGCAACTGAGCGTGACCAGAGACTGGGCTACCGTTTGCAAGGACAGCTTAATAAACTTGGAGGCTGGAGGCAATATTTGTTTTACAAATGTTTGCATAAACACTGATTGGTTAACTGTGATCTATAAAGATTTCGACAAAGGGCGCATGTTAATTATTTTCTTCAGCCTAAACAAACAGACAAAAAGAACGGCGGAGCTCATCGGATGTTGTCATTTGAAAATACCCCAGATGGTTATAGTTTAATACTAAAAAAAGGATCCATGCAGTGAAAGCATTTTCGGATTTCGGATTGCGTCGATAATACGCTTACTACTCCCTTGTTGTCATCCACGTTTACTCGTATAACCCTACACTTTATTACAGGTACAATTAGTGGTAGCACCACTTAGATTACCTGACAAAGGTTCCCATTTGGCATTGATTGTGTCTGGGGTAATTATTCAATCTAAATCCAGGTTTGAAGTGAGGTGAAATGTGTGTAATGTAATATGCACGTGGCAGCAAGAGATGAATGATCAGTTGATTTACTTTTTTGTTGTAAATCAACGGATCGTTCCTAGTCATCAAAGGATTAACAGAAAATACGTTGATTGATTAATCACTGTTATCTTGCACAGTGGATATGTCAAAAGTGAGTGTTTACATGTCTAGGTTTACTAAAACAAAGGGAATACACTCATATCATGGCGTGAAGTGCCGATGTAAAAACAACATACTTTGTTCAAAGGGTTAACTGATAATACGTTGATTGATTGATCATTGTTATCTATCACTCAATGGAATTTTTAGGAACCGTGGACGTTATGAAAATAGTCGTCACGTGGGCTTTCTCAGCCGACCCTTGAGACTTGACACCTATGTGAAACACCTGAAACAATCCTAGTGATCAGTTGAGAAACGAACACGGGTTATAATATCCCGAAACGATATATATATTTTGAAATATTTGATTGTTACAGAGACACATGCCATCGAATAAGTTTTTTTGTACAGCTGCAGACGAGTGGGATATTGTTCCTTTTCGTGGATATTCACGGATACATTCCTCGAACAAGGAAGCTGCCTAAAATTTATACACATAAATTTGGTAGGTTGTAATTATGGTATTTGCATTTTGTTTTCCTTCATTTGAACCGATTCGTTCTTTTTTCTCTACGTCTTGGTTGGGACATTCTGCAATGCGCGATAGACGTTGTTTTAAAAAAATCTGTCCAGATTGATTAAGACGATCAAAAGGGCCTACAAACATCACAACAGATTATTATGTAGGATTAGAAGCCAAACAACATAGAAATGTACTTTTCAACGTAATATTTTCAGTGATGACATTAAACAACAAAATGTTTGGAATTCGTTATCATAATAATATAGATTGAAATGTTTTTCAGTCACTTTGTAAAATAACTGAATATTTAGACGTTTAATAAATATGTTACACATTTTGACAGTAAAAAAATATACACACTATAAAAAAAGCAATGCTCAGGTGAAATATTTACTTTGTGTTGCAAGTCAAAATAGTGTAAACGAAAATCGCAAAATTACCAAGCAAGTGACTTATCAAACCTTCGTCACCATTACCGATGCTACCCACAAAGATACCTACATTTCCTTATTATCTCGAAAACTGTATTTCATTTTGTTGATCAATGTGACCATACGCCCTTATTACTACCGGTACCCATAAAAGTGACTAATGCGCTTACGAATGGCGCAGCAGAGGTCGCGAGCTAGTCTAGATTTCTGCTATACATCCGGGTACTCACTGGGAAAAAACAATAGCAAAGGCAACAACCTGTCCCGGGGAATTGCGTTAGATCAGTGCCTCTTTAATTCTTCTTGTTATTAGTATTACGACTGTCAACTTCTGATGCTCTTCACTCAACTCACCAAATACGACAAGCGTCTGACCACAGCCAGGAACCTCAGCAGCTGTAGAGTTTGATGGGGTTCTGTAACATCTGTAGTGTCCTGCATCAGACCAGATCACATCATGCAGCATGAAGCTGAACAGACCAGTTCCAGACGCAGTAATGGCGCCCACAAATTCCATTTTCACTATAGGTTGTCTGTTCATCACGGTTACTGTGCTGTAGTTGGTGACGCGAAATACCTCCTGATTCCAATATGTATTGTTGACCATGAACGTCTCCAGTCCAGCTGGCTGGGGGAGGTCCCATGACAATGTGGCGGTTTCTCCAAGATGAGCATATACAGTGGAGGCGGCTACGGCAGAAAAACAGTGACGAAATAAAAGTGATCATGACTATTTCAAACAGATGTCTGATAATGGCAATACAATATTACCCGATGGCTTCTATTTGATAATGATGCATTGTTTAACATGCAAACCTGTATGAATCTATGTTAATACCAACGCCATGAGGAATACTGTGATAACTACACTATACTCGTATAGATTTACATGTGATACTTATTTATAAGATCATGCTTGTGGTATTGGATGAGCTTTTTCAGATCTGTTCCCTGTACTAAGTGTTTATTGTATCCGTTTAACGAGTACGACAGTATAAGCACTGTGACATGAAACACTCAGTTGAATTAGTTTTCCGCCAATTTGAACATTTTTTCAGCTTATGATGTAGGGAATGCAAAGGTGGCGCACGTTTTAGACCACGTTGTTACCATCTAGTCAAACCCATGATCATAGGCATGGTCCTGAAATATTGGGGGATCCGAATAAAAGCAACAAATCCCTTTTCATTTTCATAAGAAATCTCTGCTAAACGCTGAATTCGAAGGAATTTATATAATGAGCATGTGTTTATGGATCACTATCTAATGGTGATGATACCACTCACGAAAAGGTGAGCGTATTATGGAATTGTCTTCAACATGTTTACCATGAAATATTTTTGAAAGATTTTGCTGAGGCCTTGACTATTGTAACCTTGATAAAATAACTTTTAAGCAAGATTGGTATGACGCTCCTTCAAATCCTCGTAGAAACAGCACGCTGGTCCTCCAAGGTAGAGAAATACAGACACCAAGCCTGTAGCTGCTGGAATATTGTTCGCCATAAAGGGCACGTTCACTATTGGAATGTTCAAGTCATCCCTCTTGTCGTACAGCCATACATTTCCTTTATTTCTAGTTCAGGGGCGTAAATCAGATGAAGGGAATAGCCAATTTGCCAATTTTTTAACGATATCCGATCATCGATATACCTGAACCTTAAGTTTAACGTCCTCGCCAAATCCCCTTGCTTTGATTTTGCCAATTCAAGCAGAAAGTCCGATTTCATATAGATAAAGAAATAGATCCACAAGGAGGGGAGCACAAGTGGTGCCAATAGGGATACCTTCTTCTTCCCTAAATTGCGTATTCCCCAATTTTACATAGATGTCATCAATGAGGACGTCCAATATTTCACAAATTTTTTCTCAGTTAACTTCAGATGATATTTGCTTTCACTTTTGACACATGTTCTTGAACCTCTTAAGATACATATGTAAGTCCATCTATGGTAACCACGTTCAGTGGCAAATGTCCCATTGATCAAGGAATTAAGTTTTCCCGAAATGTTTCGTGTGTGATAATGGAATACAAAGTTGAAAATCAAATATTTTGACAGATTTACGCTTCTTTTCTGAGATTGCAAAAGTTAAAGCAAATGCGTTGAAGTTTTAGAATTCACATGGTATTAAGTCCTTCCTTGGTGGTAATAAGGAGCATAGAGAGATAGTTTATTCAGTATTGAAGGCCTCGTGGCAAAGAGTACAATTTATTTCATATAACATGAGTACGATATACTAATAAGGAGTATAATTAATCTTTGAGACAGGGATTTGGTAGTACATTCGCTGGCCAAGCAATATATCTTTCTTTGTATGGATTTGTATGGAGCTTTGTAATCCAGTACAAAAAAACGCTGTGTCTTTAGGTTTTAAAGTCAAATAAAAAGTTGATGGACCTGATGCGTTTTAACATACTAGCTTTAAATGTAGCCTTATTTGATATGTCAGTTGTACCAATTCATGATTACATACATGGTCCTGACGTAGAAGGGAGGAATCTGGGATTTGAAACCATGGAGAGCGACACGCTGACCACTAGGCCACCCGAGCCCCCAGTTACTTGTACATTAAGAAGCTTGAGACATTGTTGAAATATGTTATGCCAAATTTGCGCGTTATATTGAGTATGAAAATCCAACAGTGTGCCAATTCGAAAAGTTAATCTTTTTTTTAAATTACCTTTCGTATCTCCTACCAGCATGCACACAATCCAAGTACACATTCCGCGCTCCATCTCGACTGACTGTGAACTGCCCTGTTTGCACTTTTCTATTCCCTATTTAAAGTGATTTTGAATAATTTCCGCCTACATCTAATTTATAAACGAAAACTAATGTCTGTTTAATGCAATCGTTGTTTTTTGTTCTTCTCGTGCTTAAACGGGTAACACCCACAGGATATAAACAGCGTCATACACTGACGAAAAAACGTGTTTGACATGTATGATTTGTGTGTGAGAGAGGGAAAGAGAACGTTAACACATGTCAGTCGAACGTTTCACTACTCTGGGGGCGGTAGGGTGGCCTAGTGGTTAAAGCGTTCGCTCGTCACGCCGAAGACCCGGTTTCGATTCCCCACATGGGTACAATGTATGAAGCCAATTTCTGATGTACCCCGCCGTGATATTGCTGGAATATTGCTAAAAGCTGCGTAAAACCATACTCACTCACTGCATTGAATACTTAGGGTACATAGAAAAGGACTTTTCGAGTCCTATGGTTTATCACCGATAATTATTCTTAATTACTCAATGAAGAAAAAATGGCGAGGCTCAATGATAATCATTAACTATATGATAGAAACCATTGCCAAGGATAATATAAGTTTGACAAACAGTAGACTCTTTGTGAACTCATTCTGTTATTCATCTGATTTATCATGCAAAAACATTGTACTCATGCAGATTATTCAATAAAAGCAGTGGTTATATATGACAGAAATCAGTACCAACTAGAAACGTTTGACATCAAATAATGGATGTTTGGTCAGTTTTGTCACGCTTTCTGTGTTGGTTGCAAGCACAGATTTTAAATCAGTTTATTTCCTTAAAAAATGTTATGACAGCATATGTAAAGTCTTTCTCTCTCAAATTGGGTATGCATTCTCAGCAGCAATAACACAAGCAAATGCATATTCCTGGCACTATGGTGTCTCTGTTGTTATGTGATGCATGTCATTTTGGAAGGCAGCTGATATATATCTTGTCGTTGAAGGCGTTTTGGATAGCTAAGTGGACAACGCAGTACCGTAACACGCAGAGAGATCTAGTTCGATCCCAAGTAACTAATCATGAAAGTATCAACTCCTGTGGCTTTCCAGCCAGTATAATCGGGTGTTGATACAAACGACATAAGGGTCCACGTGCACAAAAAGATATCGAACGAACTCCCATACTTTAACATAGACTTACATTAGTCTTAGAGATAATATGGCTTTGTGCAAGTGATGTACGTAGAAATTACTGCCGAATAATGACCTAATAATATATATATATCTTTCCCTATCAAAGCTACACGTTTATCATGTCGGCCTGTAAATAATAGAGCCTGGACCTCACCTACCATCACGTGGACACTTTTAGTTGCAGCAGGATCCTAAACGAATATATCGTACCGACAGGGGTTTTTTATGACTTGATAGAAAACAGTTGTTTCACTGAGCTGAGGTTAACTTGCGCTAAGTCACGTGACTTCCATTGACTCGGAAAAAGCGTGCGGCTTTTGCTTTGAAGCGGGGAATAAGGGATATATTCTGCCTCTCAGAATCCCATGTGCAGCCTGACTTGCTCGTGGCGGGGTATTAGAGATGTACTTACCCCCAAAGTGGGATATATACTATTTTATTAAGATGCACTCAGCAATGGATTTATGTTATGGTGGCTTAAATACTACAGCTCGCTACTGTTGTTCGCTTTTTTCTTGTCAATATACAACTTTCAGGTTGACGCCGTGTTTAAGTCTCCCGTCAAGGATTGGTTGCATTCACTGGGGTCACATCACAGGCATCCTCATCTCTTTTGCGTGTTCTAGCAGGGTAATTCTGCAAAACCTGTAAGTTTATCAGTGGGCTATAGCTAGGCCTTGTATTTGCCATGTCTTGGTTAGCAAAATGGTTTGCCTAATCGTTATATAAACCTCCATTGACGTCATCAAGGTGTTCAAGGCGGGTTAAATTTCATAAACAGGGATGTTATAATACCTAGGGATTTAATTAATACAGTTTCCGTTTATATTGTAATATATGAATGTTTCTCGTAAGAAATTTATTTAAGTTTGCATTTGAACACAATGTAATGAAGTGTCACATCTGTAGTGTTTTAACATTGCACTTTAACATTATGTTTATATATGAAGGAGTTACCTCCCTTGGATCAGAAATAAAGAGCATGTCCAAAGTATTGTCTCTCTCTGTTCAACCGAACATATATCGACGTGCATACACGTACAAATATAAAGTTAACACCTATCGGCTCGCTAAACATCACATTGGCGACGAGTGAATTATTTTGCAAGTGACATCATGGCTGATGAGCACAAAGAAGCCCAACCACAATGGCAACAACATCAGCACCGGTTACGGTATCTTTACCTCACTATCTGCCATTCGACTGATGGTAAGTTAGTCCGTTGGAATAGGTGGCAATCGCGGCTTGAGAACAATGTATTTGTAGGTTATAACATTACTGATGATCGACAGAAAAGAGTGTTGTTACTTTCATTCGGTGGCGATGACTTAAATGGCATTGTGGACATTCCAGAGGTAGATCTCACACCGGGGGAATGGGAGACACATTTCAGGAAGCTAGTGACTGCCATCACGAATCACTTCAACCCGCAAATAAATCTTGAGTTCAAATAGTACTCTTTTGATTGATGATTTTTATCACGAACTGCGTCAACAAGCCCACACGTGCGGTTTTGATGAAAGAATCGATGCGGAGATAAAATCTCAGCCCATAGCAGGTTATAGATCTAGGTGAGGTGAGATGAGATGGGGTTTAGCGTCGCGTTCAAGATTATTGCACGTGTATAGCGACGTGCATGTACGTGTGTGTGTTTGTGTGGCTGCTTGTAGTAGTCCGGACTGATGCCGATTTATAGTGCTAGCTAACTGAGATACCATGCCGCAGTTTAACATGAATACCCCACTCAGACACAGTATACTGACTCCGAGCTGACCAGTCCTTGTTTTAGCCCCTTAATGCCGAGCGCCAGACAGGATAACAACAAGTACCATCTTTTAACGTCTTTTGGTATGACGCGGCCGGGGATAAAACCCCGGACCTTCCGGGCGGACGCTCTACCACTAGACCATGGAGGCGGTCCTGGTAGATCTAACAAAGTTAGTTAGAAAGGGTTGAGTAATCAGAACGCGACATTGAATGAACTGTTAACATAGAGCAGATCAGTGGAATTAGCACATGAACATTCTGAACAAATTCAGGGTAATTCCAGTCATGCAAGTGCTTCAAACACACATCTACTGTTAAAGAAGAAGTTTTAAAAGAAACCTCAACAAGCCAAGCCCGCTGTTTCACAAAAGAAACATCAAAAACAGAATACATGTTTTAATGGTGGTAGAAAATGGCCCCATGCTGGTGGCCAAAGGAACTGTCCAGCTTTTCGAAAAAACATGTGGAAAATGTGGCAAAAACAATTATTTCACAAATATGAATAAAATAAGTAGTGATGATAGTGCACCAAATGGTGGACAATCAAAGTCTGTGCGCATGGAAAATAACGAGTCTGAAGATGATGACTTTATTTTCTTATCGTAAGATGAAAACTACAAATGTCAAAAATTCGAGATGAAAGTAAACGGACAATCAATCGTCATGCTTGCTGACCCGGCCTAGGTGCGTCAATCAACACAATATCAGAAACTTGGTACAATACGCTGATTATAAAAGCCTCAGTTGGAACCATGCAGAACAAAAGAGTTTCCATATGGAAAAGAAGAACCTGTGACTGACAGATTTGTAGTGAGTGAATTTGGTTTTACGCCGCTTTTAGCTATATTCCAGCAAAATCACGGCGGGGGCACCAGAAATGGGCTTCATAAAGTTGTGTAAACGTATTGTTCATTTCTTACAAACAGTGGTGATAAAATGTTTTTTCTTTTCTTTATATATTTCCCTAATTGTAAAGTACAGTCGGACAAAATATTTTTTGTCACAAGTCCTTTTATTTCTTTTCTGATGTCAGGGTTCTTTTGTCGGTCACTCTTGTTAGGAAACTAACACAATATAAGGCCTGATTATTGATGTAATAGTTGACAAATTATGTAATAGTTTCATATCGTACAAGAGGCAAAGAGTTATTCCCAATGTTATGTCTGTAGCCGAGGCGGGGGCACGGGTGGCCTAGTCGTCTTAGGCGCAGCGATTCGCTGTGCAGAGTTGCGTCCCTTGGGCACGCCAGAAACCTATGATTGTGGGTTCGAATCCCGCTTCGCCCCAATTATGTTTCTAGGTTTGTCAGCACCATACCCGTGCTCGTGGGTTTCACCGAAGTGGTAAACGTCTGAGACCTGCATCACTTCGGGCTTTCCTCCCAAATTAAGCTGACACGCCGTGATATAACTGCAATACTGTTAAAAGCGGGGTTAAACCCAACTCACTCACTCACTATAGCCGATGCCGGCAATTACACATCCTCAAGCTAATACACAGGGTGTGAGACACGCTGGCGACACGTTTTCCGACAAACTTTGAATCCACTCACATGAGTGTGACAGACAACAGTTCTGCCATGCCGAGGTGTACTATTATTTATATGAAGCGTCGATATATAACACAATGATTATTGACAACCATCCGTGAAAAATAATGATCGTCGAGACGATTATGTGACGTCACAGATGTGTGTCAAGTTTAAGTCTTGCAAACTTGCAGGTCAAGACTTTTCATACTCAGACATGTGTTATGTGAAGGTTACGCCAGTAAAGCCTTACACGTTGCATTCCTGCATTCATAGTGCGAACACGACGAAGAGATAACGTTCGAGCGATGTACTGTTATATAACAACTATATCCATATCGACGTCAGGTCGAGTCAGTTCAGCGTTCATTTCATTCAGATCGGGTGCTTAGAACTGATTTTAATATTTTGGGGTTCATGGGTGAGTGTGTGATTTGGGTTTAACGCCGCTTTTAACAGTATTTCAGTTATATAGCAGCGTGTCAGTTTAAATGGGAAGGAACGCCCGAAGTGATGCATGTCTCAGACGTTTACCACTTCGGTGAAACCCACGAGCACGGGTATGGTGCTGACAAACCTAGAAACATAATCGGGGCGAACCGGGATTCGGACCCACAATCATAGGTTTCTGGCGTGCCCAAGGGACGCAACTCTGGCACAGCGAATCGCGGCGCCTTGGGCGACTTGGCCATCCGTGCCCACGGGTGTTTATGGTATAAACGTAAATTCCTGTGTTCACACTGTGTAGCTTCATGCATTTTTATGACCTGACAAGGTGATGGACATCAGTTTTAAGTTAACACATATTAATATGTCACGACGCATGGGATTCAAGTAGATAAGCAGACTTTGATTACTCAAGTACCTTTACAACTGCAAATCAGTAATGTTGCTTGACAATTCGTTTTTGTTTTGTTTGTTTGTTGTTTGTTGTTTTACGCCTCACTTAGCAATATTCCAGCTATATGACGGCGGTCTGTAAATAATCGAATATGGACCGGACCATCCAGTGATGGATATCATGAGCATCGGTCCACGCAACTGGGATAGATGACTTGCATCGAGCAAGACAGCGAGCCTGACCACCCGATCCCGTTAGTCGCCACTTACGACAAGCATGGTCGCCATTTACGGCAAGCATGGGTTGCTGAGGAACTTTTCTACCCCGGATCTTCACGGGTCAATGGACGATTCAGCTTAGATGATAACACTATGACAGGGATACTAGGATAGAAGTTATCTCTGGATTGTGTTATTATGTTAATACTGTCACAGATCCGTACGCAAATGTTACGTTATAATACTTAAAATACTTATTGCGGTATGTACATATATACTGAACACATAAGAGATTCATTTTTTAGCACATATATTCATCATCCTTTGTTTCTTTATTCAGTATATGTTGCTGCAGATTATATCATCGCTAATAAAAGATGAAGATGAATCAAACTGACGTCAATAATGATAACATGTGCATATGAACAGGTAAAGCCAAATTCAACATATGCATATCCATGGGCGGATACAGGGAGGGGGGGGGGGGGGGGGGGGTGTGTGCGGGGGTGCACCCTTAATAAATCTTTATTTCTGTATAAATTACCACCAAAGACGATAAATAGATCTTAATTGAGGACCCCCCCTTTTTAAAAAAAGCTGTATCCGCCCATGCATATCTATATGTCTGGTGTCTTCCACCGGGATATTGCTGGTGTATTGTTGAAAGCGGCGCGTGTGTGTGTGTGTGTGTGTGTGTGTGTGTGTGTGTGTGTGTGTGTGTGTGTGTGTGTGTGTGTGTGTGTGTGTGTGTGTGTACAGTCCGCACAAATGGATTATATTTATATATTGATAATTGGTGGTCATATTGGATTCTGCAAATTAGACATATTTCCCAGACTAGGGTTGCTTGTTGTTTTGGGGACCTTGTAGAAATGCAAATAAACTTTGTTGCAATTTGTTCCCAGTGAAGCATTATTTTGCCTAAATAGAGGCGACTAAGGGCTGGGGGATCGCGTGACCACAGTCTCACTTGCTGCCATGGCATCCCAGTTGCACAGGCTGATGTTCATGCTGTCAATAACTGGATTGTCTTGCCGAGACTGGTCTGTGTACAGACCGTCGTTATATAGCTGAGATATTGGTGGCGTTGTACAACAGACACAGACGGAGACCTGGTGCGGACATGTCATCTTATCCCAATTCTGCAGATGATATCTTTTAGTCATTCATAAAGAAGAAGACCTCATCACGTTGTTATGTGTTCGCCTGTGCTTCATATAAACCTGGTTCGATTCCGGATGGGTATTTTCTGAGCAGTCCATTATTTATATTTCACGCCTTGAGCTTCTATCGGGTTTTGGGGGCGGGCGGGTGGCCTAGTGGTTAAAGCGTCCGCTCGTCACGCCGAAGACCCTGATTCGATTCCCGTCATAGGTACAATGTGTGAAGCCCATTTCTGGTGTCCCCCGCCTTGATATTGCTGGAATATTGCTAAAAGTGGCGTAAAACCATACTCACTCACTCACTATCGGGTTTTGAATAATGTATTAAAATGGCACGTTTTTACGTCGCTTTTAGCAGCATTCCAGCAATATAACGGCGTGGGAAACCAGAAATCGAACCCAGGCCTTTCAGCGTGACGAGCGAACGCTTTTCTATCCCATCGCCCCAAACTCAAAGTCAAGAGCTGATTTATGAAGCAAATACAAAGGGTCTTCCGATTGCCGTTGTCCCTTCGTATCGTCCCTATCTGTGGTATACATGGCACATGACAATAATCCTTACATAACATTTTCAGCGGGTCATAATCCGCAAACAGGTATCATGGATATTTTCCACATACACGCATGCATATCGCAATTCAGATAACAATGTTATGTATATTTATGAAACAAAACGTTCCGCCTTAAGCACTTATATCATCCAATAAAATCAGTTTCTTTACATCATACCGAACATGATTATCTCAAAACGGCTCATGTGCACCGATACACCCCGACGACATGCGATGATAGTCGGCACTACCCCCACGGCAATGGTTGCTAGAGTTTATGACATCAGAGCGCCCAGGGCTACGTCACCGTGTGGTCATCGCAGGCCATAGACGAGCGATTCATCCAGATACCACATTTACAGATAACGCCAGTTGACCACTGGTTGAAATATAAAGAGCTCACAAGCCACACTGGACATTGATTCACCGGGTTCAACACCGCAGAACACTGTCAACAGCTCTCTGACCTGACTCACGCAAACCTCAAGGTAAGATACTTTCATATTCGTATTTATCGAAGTTTCAAGTTTTCATAGCTGTTTACAGGTTTAAAGTTTAGCATATAGAGAATCTCACCCTCGTGTCTTTTGATATCAAATATATCAACACGAGTTGATAAAAGTGGAAAAATTCCGAGGCTTGCCGAGGATTTTTGCCCCTTTTATCAACGAGTGTTAGTGTGGGAGCCAGTTTTGGATGATAAAACCTATTGCTAGATACATTTAAGATACATTTTGGGAAAGTGAATGAGACAGTATTTAGCAATATTACTGTAATATCATCACAGGGGTGGGATGGAGGTGGTGGTACACCAGAAATTAGCTTCATGCATTGTACCCATGTAGGGACTTGAACCAGGGCCCTCGGCGTGACGAACGAGTACTTTATCCACAAGGCTACCCAACGCCCCAGATACACATGTGCAATTATTATAATGTTTGCCATATTACCATGCATCTTAACAGTGAGTGAGTGAGTACGGTTTAACGCCGCTTTTAACAGTATTCCTGTAATATCACGGCGTGTCAGCTTAATGTGGGAGGAAAGCCCAAAGTGATGCAGGTCTCAGACGTTTACCACTTCGGTGAAACCCACGAGCACGGGTATGGTGCTGACAAACCTAGAAACATAATCGGGGCGAATCGGGATTCGAGCCCACAATCATAGGTTTCTGGTGTGTCCAAGGGACGCAACTCTGCACAGCGAATGACGGCCATCCGTGCCCCCGCATCTTAAATGTAATACATTTGTTGGGTGATTAAGATATCGGAAGTACTTTATTGGTAAAGTAAGAAACTGGTAAATATAAAAAATATATTTATCAATGCATTTGTCATTTGTAGCACCATCATGTGAAATGTTTTCAAATACTATAAACACATCGAAGGATTATGTGTCAGTGCAGTGACGTCACAGCTTAATCCTTTCGTTTCAGCTCCTTTGAACGGACGGCATAATGACAATGGAGAAATTGTGCGGTGTCGCAGCAGTGCTGCTTGTTGTCATGGTAACGCAGACCGAGGGTATGTACGTTTGTGAAACATTTTGTATGCACTTCTGAGCAAAAGAAGTATAAACATGAAAATTGAATTTTAGAAAAATTAAAACCTTATCAAAATGTTTCTCGACTGAAAACAGTCCTCGAAACACTGCAAACTTCAGGTCAAAAACACAACTATGACACCCGTATTAAATACACCAGCATCAAGGGGGTGGGTCAAATGTGGGTTCGAATCCCGGTTCGCCCCGATTATATTTCTAGGCTTGTCAGCACCATACCCTTGCTCGTGGGTTTCACCAAAGTGGTAAACGTCTGTGACCTGTATCACTTCGGGCTTTCCTCGCTGACACGCCGCGATATAACTGCAATACTGTTAAAAGAGGCGTTAAACCCAACTCACTCACTCACTCAACTTTTTGGAAATGTAGGCCTCATAATCCGACATTCAAATGTTAAATGACTGAACACAAATCAAATGCTTAAAAACGTCGCTAAAGTTATATTGAAGACGTTGATCATCCATACTAAGTTGTTATCAGTTTAATATTCAGCTTATATACGATAACCATGGACCTCGAATTCTAGTTTAAGTTTTTTAATATAAATTTACGACCTCGTGCTTTCTAACATGTACAGGTAATGAATGTATATAACTGCATAGTCACAAGTCTGGAAACAGAGACTTGTACGTAAGAATTGCCTTCTTCAATATCATTTATCCTTTAGAGGGGTATAACCGAAAATATACTGCGTAAATATAAATAAATAAATAAATAAATAAATACATACATACATACATACATACATACATACATACATACATACATACATACATACATACATACATACATACATACATACATACATACATACATACATACATACATAAATAAATACAAAAATAAATAAATAAATAAATTTTAACGTTCATAATGGTAAATTTATGATGTCAGTTCTTGTAAATAAATGCTTCATAGATTGCTTTTTTAATTATTAAGAAAAAAAAGCACTCGAGGCAAATAGAGGCATCGATTACATCTATGAACGCAATAATGCAAGGCAAGCTCCGTCAATTTCATGAACAGCCAATCAGGAGACAGTATTCGATGAAGGCGTTTGTGTGTGTAACGTAACATTGTATTTAATGTAAATGCACAAGATTTAAATAAATAGATCTGTCTGTCCAATAACTGTTGTGATCATATTTCAGCCGCCGCCTGTGTGAACAGCACCGACTGCGGCGTCAACGCCAACTGCGCCAACTCCACCTGTGTGTGTGATCCTGGGTATCAAGGAGATGGCACCACCTGCACCAGTGAGTACCATCAGCAGGGAGACTTTCAGAACATAGTGCTGATTACAGTCGATGCAATAACTGTTAATCTCCGAAGTATACGCCTTCCTTTACAAAAAAAACGTTAAGCAAAAAAAAATTGACTTTCGCATTTAATTGAAATGAACAAACGATAAAACAATTGGTTAAAAAAAGTGCACTTGACAAAATACTTTTGTGAAGATAATTTCTCAACTTTTGTAAAGCCATGAAAATGCGTATTTCGACCAAAATATGGCTCTTGACATCACTGTTGACAAATATATTTCACATCTCGATAACACTATCAACAATGTTTGACTTTCGAATTTATCTGACGTGAAAAGAATGAGTAAAAAAGAACGTGCATTTGGCAAATTACTTCGGGAGAGATTAAATCATTTCCTTCTTAAAAAATGCCACAAAACAGCATTCTGATGGACAAAATTATTATTGACAATAGACGAGACCTTTCTGATCTTTCACGTCCTTGACCTTCAGCTATATGCAGCATGTCGGACTTCCTGCTGGGAGTCGGGTTCCTCGCCCTGCCAGGGGACTGCAGTCGCTTTGTCCAGTGTGACGTCACAGTACCCAAGGTGCAGTATTGTAGCTACGGCACAGTGTGGAGTGACGTCATCAAGACGTGTGTGAGACCAAGGGACGGCAACTGCAGTAAGTAGCACAAATCAATTTGATACAAACATTCAACAATTGAGTCAAATTTAATTAAGAAAAAGTTCACTACAACTGTTTCCAATAGGATCTATAAGGGCTTAGCCTAGTGGTTAAAGCGTCCGCTCGTCACGCCGAAGATCCGGCTCCCATTCCTACATGGGTACAATGCGTGAAACATTGGTAACTAATAAATTGTCAATACATTGAGTGAGTGTTTACTATGTGCTGAAAAGCCTCAATGAACAAAATTATCCAAAGAAACCTTTGATTGTGGGTTCGAATCCCGGTTCGCCCCTATTATATGTTTCTATGTTTGTCAGCACCATACCCGTGCTCTCGGGTTTCACCAAAGTGGTAAACGTCTGAGACCTGCATCACTTCGGGTTTTCCTCCCACATTAAGTTGACACGCCGCGATATGACTGGAATACTATTAAAAGCGGCGTTAAACCCCAACTCACTCACTCACTCAAGTTTTTGATTATTTCATGTTTTCCAGACAAGTGCAGTGGACAGGCTGACGGCGTCGAGCTGCCCTACCCCCTCATGTGCAACTCCTACTGGCAGTGTCAGGGTGGGGTGCCACGTGCCATGTGTTGCCCTGTCAACAACACCTTCGTGGATGGATCGGGGTGTGTCAGTGGGTCATGTGCTGACACCTGTCCTCCTGTCCAGGCTAATTACACAACAGGTAAATTCACGTTAATATACTCCTGTCAAAGCTAATTACACAGCAGGTAAATTCACGTTAATATACTCTTGCCCTGGCTAATTACACAGCAGATAAATTCACGTTAATATACACC